ATTATTATTATTATTCATTATTCATTATTATTATAATTCATTATTCATTATTATTATTATTCATTATTCATTATTATTATTATTCATTATTATTATTATTCGTTATTATTATTATTTATTATTATTATTCATTATTATTATTATTCATTATTGTTATTATTCATTATTTATTATTCATTATTATTATTATTCATTATTGTTATTATTGATTATTATTGTTATTCATTGTTATTATTATTCATTATTATTATTATTCATTATTCATTATTATTATTATTCATTATTCATTATTATTATTATTCATTATTCATTATTATTATTATTCATTATTCATTATTATTATTATTCATTATTATTATTGTTCGTTATTATTATTATTCATTATTCATTATTATTATTATTATTATTATTCATTATTCATTATTATTATTATTCATTATTCATTATTCATTATTCATTATTCATTATTCATTATTCATTATTCATTATTCATTATTCATTATTCATTATTCATTATTCATTATTCATTATTATTATTATTCATTATTATTATTATTCGTTATTATTATTATTTATTATTATTATTCATTATTATTATTATTCATTATTGTTATTGTTATTATTATTATTATTATTATTATGATTTTCATTAATATTATTATTATTATTACTATTACTGTTATTATTATTATTTTTATTTTCATGTGTGTTATCATTATTATTATTGTTGTTGTTATTATTAATATTACTATTTTCAATAATATTATTAATGTTATTATTATTATCGTAATTGTTGTTATTGTTAATGTTTGTATTATAAAAGTTATCATTATTATTATTATTAATATTATTTGTATGTTTACTATTGTTATGTTGTGATGTTGTTAATGTATCCTCACTTAATTTTTCATGTTTAAAACTATCTTTGGTTTTATTTGAAATTTCATTTAATAAGTACTTCTCAACTAATTTATCTCCGTCCTTCTCGGCACCATGGAGTATAGTTTTGTTGGCAATGTTGGCAATGTTGGCAATGCTGGGAATGTTGCCATTGTTGCCAAGATTGATTTGTATTACTTCAGCTCTTGTTGTCATTTTGGTAAGGAAATTTATGTGCACCACTTGTAAAATACACATTATTAAAACAAAAATCACCGAATCCTTGAATAGAAACCAACTGCGTACACGACAGCCGCGCCCTCTGCCAGCGGCCATGCCTTCGCTTTTGACGTTTGTTGTAAATTTCTTATGTTGCTTTTGTTTTAAGTGTTGCTCTATTTGCTGGAAGTGATGTTGTTTCTCTGTTGTTTGTTGCTATAATTGTTCCCGTCGTTCTTCTTGGTGTTGCTCTTGTTGCTGTTGCTGTTGCAGTTGTTGTTGCTGTTGTTGTTGAGATTGTTGTAAATTTTTATGTTGATTGATGCTGTCGAGCATTTGTCACTTGATGACAGTTATGTGTGCAATACGTTTGCCTGACATGTTTTTGATGTGAATTGGCAGCACACTTTGTTTTTATGTTTATTCGACTTTGTTGCAATTATTTTTAGAGGTTCTTTCTTGTTGTGCTAATATATTGACAGCAATGAGAAATCTGTAAAGATTTAAAAAAAATTTACATAAATTTTATTTATATAAATAAATCCTTAAAATTTGATTTTTATAAAATTAGCGTTAAGTACGGATCTTAATTAAAATGTAATAATAATAATTAAACTTTATTGGAGTTTAATTAGGTTAGGTTAGGTTATACCGGTGATCCCCAGTGGATCCACTTGAGATGCCGTATATAAATAATGAAAACTTTAGGGTTTAAAACCACCTAGAACCTTTTGCGGGGCATAAAATACTATTTAAAGTCAGATCCTGTAACTGGTCCAGGTCCTCAAGGAAGGGAGCTCCTAAAGTATTACGTAGCCGACGTGCATGAGCTGGGCAAAAACACAAAAGATGAGAAGCGCTCTCTTCGTCCTGCCCACAGCTACGACAGATTTGATTGAGTTGAAATAACCCCAATAAAATTTTAATAATCTTTCATAACGAAATTGGAACAATTTTGTTGTTGCAATTTTTGATAAGTTCAATAATTATCACGTAAAATGTCCTCTCAACTGTACTCTGTAAAAGGTTGAAACCAGATGTCAACTCACAGATTGAGTCTTGTCAGCGCGGCTTTTGTCCTAGTTGCTCCACCATCTGCACTGCGGCAGATCCTAAGAAAAGCACACGAACACAACAACGACACCCACCAAAGCAGCTTTTGAACGCGTTTATGTCACAATATCTATTGTAAGCTCGATATTCCTGCAAAGTTAATACTACTCTGAAAAATGACGATGAGCAGTACCCGTAGTTTCGTCAAGATAGGATCGAGTCTTTTCGAACCTTTGCATACCATGCAAGGATTTAAGCAATATAATCTCTTACCATGTGAAGATCAGGTAAGGTTTCTGTAAAGTTACAGCAAGCGCAGAAAATGTAGCCTTCCGCTGTGACCGGTTTAATGAAGAACGGGAATTACTCGGGGAGACTCTATGGCATTTATCATCTTCTAGCAGCATTGTACATGAAATGTGTTCAAGAAGCTTTAAATGGAATGCGGTAAAAATGTTCGGAACTCAAATTATGCGGAGTCTGCGACTTTGCAAAGAGGAAAAAAGAACAGCTGCAATGAGCTCTTGACGAAAGTCCAAATCGGTGATCCCGTGAGGGCTAATCGTCGGTGTGGTTTTAGTGGGTTAAAGTTCCACACTGACTAGGCTATCGATTGCTTTAAACCTCGCTCCATAGATCACTCATACTACCTGTGCTTTTGTATAGCGCAGAAGTATGGAGTACTTGAAGTTTTCAAGAGAAAATCTTGATGGAAATATTAGTACAATCTTATTCGAAGTTTAGTGATTCTAGAAGTCCAATGACATTTTTTGATAACGTCTAATTTTTGTTATGTGCTTTTTTCAGGTCTCATAGGTTGTTTATTAAGCTGATCAAAGATGCAGCTTGAAATTTCATGTAAATCAATGCAATTCCATGCATGAATGCAATATACTACGATTTAACATTCTCAACATATGCCAGTATAATCGATTTATATATGAATTTATTATTATGAAAAACAAATAAATAGAATGTCATTTATACAAAATATTTTTCTTATATTTCTTATATATCTATGTTTAATATTTTTAGTATCTTCTGCAATTTGACGATTCAATGGCTGACAAACGTGTTGAACTGGTTACTTGTGATGCTAATGTTTCCACGGATGAAGTGCCCACAAGCAGTGTAGGAACTCAAACTAATTTGAGTTTCCTGTTGGGGTTGCCTGGTGTTGCCAAGGAGAAGGCTGAAAGGGAAAATGAGTCACGTTTGGATGCCAAACCTGCAGCTAACTGTGACGGCTTTAAGCAGGATGAATAATCCACATCATATTTTTTATATGATTCGTTTTTTTTAACAAAAAAAATTTACCAATATGAAAGATTAATAAATTAATATTCGACGAAATATTTTATCAAAAGATTGTTAAATTCATTACAAAGACCTGAGTATATATGAATATTATATATATTCATATTATGTATATATATGCATATATAAAGATATATATATATATAAAGACAGTATAGTATATTAAAACAATAGACTTGATCAATAGTAGATCTTTCATTTGGTCTTTAGAAAGACTGAAAGGAGCTTTAAATCTGACAAAAGACCGCTGCCAGAATGCGACTGATCTTTGAAACAATCTTTCATAAGATTTTTGAGTGTGGTGATTTGAAAACTCGTTGCCAGAATTGCTCGTGAATCGAAGCACAACTAGACGAACCAACTATCAACAACAGTCATTAGAGTTGCCATGTCACTTAATTATTAATTATAGAAGAATATAACATTAACTTTGTAACGAACAAAAGCAGAAGGGGTTGTAACACTTAAGAGAATTGGTTACCAAATATCTTATTAATGTAAGCCCCTGAAGTGCCTGTTATTATTTCACTAAAATCTCTTTGAACTCTGATCTCTTTAAAGCTTTAAAGCAATATATACTTTACCACGAAAACAAGAATTAATAATATATTTTACCGCCAGACGAATAAGATGCATAACTCCTTATGGAGACTAAGTCTGCTGTAGTTTGGTTGCTAAAGTGTGGATGTCATTTAAGAAATGAATAAGACTACCGTAATTCCTAGTCCTTTTTATTAAAGAAAAGTAAACAAGGTTTAAAGTGAGAAAAAAATTAACTCTTGAAATACGCGTCCTATGGGAATTTTCGAAAAATGCCACTGCGAATGATTTTATTGCTGATGAGAATTATCAGTATTAAAATTGGCGTGCGCTTATTTTAACCCAAAAATAAAGCACATACATTTTCCATAGACCCGCCTACACACATAGTGAGAAGACGGTAATTCCTGACAACATTCGCCAACGGGAGCGTTTTTATGAAGTTTGTCCTGAAGGAAATGTGTGCTTGCCTTGTTGCGGTTCGCAAAAATCTTCCGTGAATCTTTAAGATTAAAGTTTTGACATTTCATGAAGAAAAGTTACATATGCGAAGTGGACGTGTGCGCGTTTAATATGCAAAGCTTCTCGGTTTAAATTTGTAATAATTCGGCATTTAAATATTGAATTATGCGCTACTCGCACGCAGTTCTCATCTCCTCCATCAACCGTCGATATGGTGTTTGTGTGCTGTGCGATTGAGTAAGATACATGTGTGAAGATTTTGCATGAAAGTAAACGCGTATTCAAAATTTGCTTGGTTTCTGGTTAACAGATTTTATGAAAAAACCTTTCGAGTCTAAAGAAAATTAAGGGACGGGATTGATTTTGCGACTCTTAACAATGGAAGCCATAAAATGTCAAAACTAGTTTAGAAAGTTCAGTTTCAGTTCAAAAAGGTTGAATCTTTTTCTTCTCAGCTTTCGCAGAAGTTTCACAATTTCACTCGCATGTTTCCACACGAAGCTGAAGGTTTAAACAGTGATTAATAGTTACCGGCTTTCGCGTTTGGTATGCAAAGTAGCGACTCGTTATCAAGGATATTCTTCCTTATTATACGTAGAGAAGGATGTAGTAATTCAAATTCAGATGTTTCATATTATATCTTTAATTATAATATATTTCTTACATGACAAATTTTCACTTCCTAGGTTTTTCTTTGGATAGTTTCAAATAAGGCTACAGGAAAACATACTTAACAAATGTAAGCAAGGGAAAATAGGATCAAATGAGAAGGATATAAAAAATACAATTTAATATATAAAGGCAAATTAAAACAACTCATTAATACATATACTAAGAATGTAAGATGAAGATTTATGAAGATAAAATAATATAGTACTCTTAAAAGATCATTTTATGAATTTTTATGTAAAAAAAAACTATTTTTGGGTTAAGATTTTTTTAATGATAAATTTTACTAGCAAATATATTTCATTATAATAAAAAAAAAATTACAACTAAAAACGGAATTACAATTGTAAATACCTTATATATACAGGGTGTAGATACATATTATACGGATTAACTGTTTTTTCCATTCATCTATAGAATAACCGTTTTCAACGAATATTTTAAATTTCCATTAGAAAATGACAATATGGTCAGTATTGTTAGAAAATACTTAGTTGGATTTGCACAGTATTATTTGCTTTTGAAAACAGAAAATCTATAATCAAATTTCTAGACTAAGGAACGTTCTAGATTATTGTTGCAACATATGTTGCTTTTAATAGTAATTTACATAACTGGTCGACACGTATCAAACGGTTCGGAGAGGTTCTTCCCGATTTTAACATATAAGCCGTATAAGTTTTGTTGGGAAACCAGACAGAGCGGCGTAGAGATTGTATAATTATGATTTGTTGAAGCACTTTAATTATTGTAGTTATTATTAAATAATAGGCTATGAGTGCACTATGATCTAAAAGATTTATTGTTCACCTAAAGGCTCAACTAAGATAATTTTAGACTATTTATAATTCTTGTAATTGCTTTCGGCTTAATTTTACCTATTTGATTTAAGACTAAAATCCTGCTTCCAAGGCAAACGAGTCTACGTCTTGCCGCCGCTGGGCAGCTGTATAGAATATGTGCTGATGTTTCCTTCTCCTAATGACAGAATTGACAGGAGTCACTTTCTACCGCACCTATAATCTTCATGTGGTAATTAAGTCTATAGTGTCCTGTAAGAAGTAAAGTGTAGATTTTAATATTGTTTCTGCTAAGGCCAAGGATAACATGTGTTCAGGATCAATGAATCTTTTTGACTGTCGCATGCCTCTTTGGGATCTACAGTGTTCAAGTAGATTTTGTTTCTCACGTTCACATAGTAAGTTATGTGTGAAGCTATCTGTTACCCCGCAGAAGGGCTTTGGACAAATGAAAGGAGTGCATGCACCCTTCTTTACTAAATTATTGTAGTTAATATAACATTTTTATAAAATTTAAAGACTTAAAGTGTACACCATTTATCAAAGGCACGTGAATACTGCTTTTTAAATTTTTTTTGCTTGTAGTATATCAGTTAAAAACTCAATAGCTGTTTTTGAATTCAAATTAAAAAAAATTAAGGAAATTGTGAAAAGTTCCTATTTTTTATAAATTCGTAGAGTTGATTTATTGTTGCTAAAAGTGCAAAAAAAAAAAAATATATATATAGAAAGTAGCGCAACTTTCAACAAAATGTAGCACAGCCAATTTTTTACTTAGCGTTGGCATATGGCTTACGGGATACGTTTACAATTTTATTGCCAAATTTATTGGAAAAAACTAAATGAATTTCTGCTAAAACAACAACAGCAACAACAGCAACAGAATTTATTAATGTAATAAGTAAATAAATCAAAAAAAAACAAAAAAAAATTAAATAAAATAAGAAATAAGTTGACCCCACAACGTCAAGTCAAAATAGCGAAAACAATTGTTTTACTTGACAGCGAAAACATTTAACAAAAGCAACAGCATGAAAAGATAAAAACATAAACAAACACAATCTGAACAAACTGTAACGCTTTAAGCTTTAAGTGATGCAACAACAACAACAACACTAACAACACTAACAACACTAACAACAACAAAAAGAAAATTGAAGACGGCCCAAATGTGAAGTTGAACGATGAAAATCGTAGAAAGATCGTAGGAAAAAAATTTGTGTGGCCCCAAGCATCACTCGTGTTCACAATTTGAGTTGTTAACGCCGCCCATCTTGGCTTTTTGACTCAAATAACGAAAACAAAAACAATAACAAAAACAATAACAAAAACAAAAACAAAAACAAAACGAAAACCAAAACCATATGGCCATAAAAACATTTTATGGGCTATAAACACTTAAAGAGGCATTAACATGTTGCACGATCGCTATTTAAATGCCGAAACGATCACGTTTGATGGCTTTGAACTTGACGCTCGGTTCGTTGTCAATATTCCTACTGATGACGTTTCGTGTGAAAATAAAATATAAAATATAAAACACAAAACATAAAACATAAAACACAAAACATAAAAATAATTCAATAAATTTAATTAATTAATAACCTAAGAATTATTACGGGATTATTGACCGGACATTGTAGGGACATGAACACTTATCAAAGTTAAGATTTCAATCCAACTGAGACTGCAGATACTGTAGAGAAGAGAGAGAAACTGTATACCATGTGCTTGAAGAATGCCCGGCACAAACGGAAGAAACACCTAGAAGGGTATTTCATGGTTTCATGGATCATAAAGATACAAGACTAGGAAAAGTAAGCTCTATACTGTCTTTCATTAAAGAAATCGCACTTGGAGTAACACTCTAACCCGTGTAAGGGACACAATAGATCTTTTAGGTCGCAGTGCATAATCCCATCTTTTTTTTTTAATAATAATAAATTAATTAATAAAAAATTAATATTTTCTAAAAAAAACAAAACTTATTCATAACAATTAATTTTATGATTATAATAAGGAGATAATTTTTTTGGTACGTTGCATGCTTACTTACTTACGTACTTAGTTGGGCATTATAGACGTGAGTCGTCCTTGACCGCATCGAGTAGCCTCCGCCAGTCAGCCCGATTAGTTGTCTGCTATCGCCAGTTGGTAGTACCGAACGCCCCTAAATCGTTGGTCATCTGATCCTTTCACCGAAGGTGCGGACATCCTCTACTGCGTTTTTCACCTGCGGGTACTGAATCAAATGCTTTTCTAGCCGGAGCACATGCTTCATTCGCACGACATGGCGAAGTCAGCGAAGCCGTTGAATTTTTATGCTTTTAACTATGTCAATCTTGCAATATAACTCATACAGCTCATCGTTCCATTTAATTCGATATTCGTCACCAATCATAAATGAATCATAGATCTTCCGAAGAATTTTTAACTCGAATGGTCCTAATACCTTCTCATCACAGTTGGTAATTGTTACTTATTAAAAGTTTTGCCCGTCTCCTGCTGAACTGTTCTACTCCAGGTCATTGCTGGTTTGCTGCTAATCCTAATCCT